GGGAACCCTGCTATTGAGCTGGAGATCAGATGCATTTTAAATAAATCTGCCTTTGACAGGTGTTTTTTGTTATTACAGCTTAGTTTAAGATACACACATGGGTTTTCAGTGCATGCATACATAGACATGCAGATGTATGTGTACATCCTGATTACACATGGCTCTGCCAAGCACTGTGTAGAATACTGCAAGCTCAGCACACTGTCTAGCCCACCCAGTCTTAATGGGGTAGCACTGGCAGGGGAATTGATCCCAGACATTCTGATTCCAGCAAGAAAATAAAATGCCTCTCCGTCCATGCTAGTGAAGAGAAGGTCCTCAGGAGAGAGTGTGAGCACAAAGGTTCTTTACGAACCCCTCCAGCTCACCCTCTCTGCTGGCTCAGCCTGCAGCACTGGGCTGTGGTGCCAAAGGCCTCCAGGGCTTTCTGTCCTGCAGGGGGACAATCGGGGCAGTATACTACTGAGCCGTGACCCCAACTCTGTCGGGCTGTGAAATTCCCAGAGGAGTGGGCGAGTGTTGGACAAGCTTTCATCCCAGAAACACGACAGTTATTGATTCATGTTCCCTTCAGCTCTGTGCTCTCCCCAGTCCCTTCAGATCTATGTGGTGTTTTTCATGTTTTTCTTTTTCAGACAGTAAAACTTTAGGGTGCCCTTTCGGCACCGCCTTGCAGGGGGCTGGCTAGAGCCTGCCTTTTGCAGGGATCAGGCAAGCTGCCAGTGCAGCAGTGGGATCCTGCTGTCCCCTGCTGGGCGTCCCCAGCACGGCTTGCAGCACTGTCCCAGGTTAAAAGACTTTAGAGGACTTGATTTAATGGTTACAGAGAAGGAAGAGGGGACACACAGTTTTTCACTCCAGCTCTGCTGTTTATGAGGTTTCAGGCAACTTAGTGCCATGTTTTTTCCCTGCTCCAGGAGAGAAGAAAGGTCTGCCAAGCTTAACTCAGGATGCTCCTGGTTCATTCAGACCAGTTTGGAAAGTTGTGGACCACTGGTGATACAAAGCAGGAAGAAAGGTCTGTTGGCTTCAAGGAGGTGTTTGCACCCAGTAAACACACAGCTGCAACTCACTGGTGCTTCTGTTCAACTGGGTCATTCTTCCATCAGCCAGTTGTGAAAATCTCTTTCTTCTCCATGACAGGTGACTTGGTGGAAGGAGAGCACAAGAAAGTAGCACATGGCACCACTGCAAAGGCTCTGGGCAGCTGCCTGCTGACTGCCTGCTCTTTGGCAGCCAAGGTAGAGTGTTGGTGTCAGTCTGTCTCAGATGGACAATGTAGGTGCAAGGAGATTCCACTTCCACTGCTACTGCTCAAAGAGAGGACCAAGGCTGTCAAGCAAGGCTGCCTGTCCTCATGGTTATAGGCAAGGGCTTAGAGAAAGAAGGAATGAAATAGCAGAAACCAATTTCTAGAGCACTTGTGCAAGTTTGGGAACTGTTTTTACAATGGTCAGGGAGTGACAATAACTGAGTAAGTCAAGCATGTTCCCACATGTTTGTGCCAGAGCTTGGCTTGTGTTGTCCTGTGTCCCATGATGGGAAACTCTGCTCACTGCAGCACTGTTGCAGGATGACTATTTTGCATAGGCAAGGTACAAGGCGTGCTGCTCCCCCACAGCCTTCCGAGGGTGGCTGCTCAGCACAGACACTGTGTGTGGCCTTAATCACAGAAGAATGGCCATGGTGGCCATGCCGTAGAAAAATGTCTTGAGTGAAGTGTGAGGGGAGAGATGAAGATGGGTACTAACTTCACCATGAAACCTAACAGTGAAATAAAATCCTCTCAAAGCAAACCATACATCACTGGAAGCACCCTGTAAATGTGAAACCTGGCTGACAGCCAAAGTGTAAATGGCAAGCCTCTGTGCAAGGGAAGTGGCTTAATGTGCAGCTGGGACCACTGCTTTTATGTGTCCCAGAACAGGCTGTGCTGGTGCATAGGTTTTGTTGTGTTGGTTACAGGCTATTAAACCCCTCCAAGGTCATAAGTTCTTAGTCCTCTTCTGACTGCATAAACTCGTTCTTAAAAACCTCACCGAAACACACAAATGTCACAGTTTCATTGACGATATCATCTCCCCACTTAAAAGGAGGCAGAATGAGAAGAAATCCCTCTACCAAGAAAAATCAGATTGATGTGATGTTTCTTTGTAGGAGCTCTAGCCAAAAAATTCCTAAATGGAAGCAAGTAGCTGCTAAAGAAGTGTTGGTACAAAGCAAGTCCAAGGGTACCTGTCCTACTCACTTCATGCTTCTGTCCTGGGCACTGGAGTGGGAGAAGCATGAGTGCGCTGATTAGTAGCAAGTGGAGAAGGCCTTAAGTTACCCTGGGCTAAGGATGTCCCCAGGCAGGGAACAAGGACCCTCAGAAAGCCTGATGTAGGCTCACTCAGAGGATGGAGACCGGGCATTAGCTAAGGTAACATGGGAGGGAGACGGGAGGTTTAAATTGTTAACATATTAATCTGCCTTTCCCAAATAGATTCTGTTTCTCCATCACCACCACTCCCCATAAATTTACATTTATTTTAAACCCTGGGGCTTGTTGCCGTGAAGGAAATGTTGCCGTGAAGGACGTTTAAGCAAAGTCATTTAGTTTCTGGGAGAGAGCTCAGTGCAGTTTCATACGTGCTCCAGAGTAACAGCCCAGTGCACTGCACTGCCCATGTTGGCCAACAGAGCCCCACTATAGGAAAAGGCAGCGTCTTGCTGCACTGAGAGGTGCTGGGTGCTGCTGAAGGGTGGGTGCTGTCTGGGCTCAGGATCATACTGTGGTGTTTGCTGCTTTTATTTAATACCAAACTCATGGTGTTTCTAAAATACTCTTACGTCTTCCTTTCGTCCAATTGTTTTTTAAGTAATTTTCTAGCTTTCATGTTTGTAAAGAGACACCTGAAATTCAATACATCAGTTGTTAAAAGAAACAAAACTGCAAGAGAAAAGGTGCATACAGACTGTTTTAGAACCTCAGGGCTCTTAAGCTGGTTTGGTGATTTCTGGAAGTGGAGGGTGCTCCTGGAGCCTGCAGCAATCTGCTGCAAGATGGCACAGGGATCACTCAGGCTGTGCCCAACCACAATGGGCAGGGCACAGGATGCCTTTCGGGGCTCTTTCCCAGCCTTCATGTGACCTTCCTCATGGGTGTACCACTGTTTCCCTCTCTGTGACTCTCTTGAAAAGGATGTTTTGACACAACACTGAGTCATCAGCTGTGGAAAACCTGTACTTCCTTCAAACACCCATGTTGATGTGGGATGACAGAGGAAACAGGAACATCCGAGGCAGTGCCAGTGCCAGTGCTGAAACACAAAGATACATTTTGGGTCTGTGCCACTCCGCACTGCTCCTTGGGATGCTTTCTGGAAGCTCTTCTCCAGCAGGCTTTTCCATTTCTCACATAGAAAATGTACTCTGTCCCCAGACCTTGTCAACATTGCCTGCTGCAAAAATCTCTGCCACCCACCACCTTGTAAATTTTCAGAAAAGCATTATCTGCAGCTATTTACAGGAATTAAGGACCCATTTAATGAGTCCAGGTATTTGGTTGTACTGGGAAAATCCTAGTCTGAAGTACAGACTGAGATCTTGTGGAAGAAAAGCTGTTGTTGTGGCCTTGGACCAACTCGCCTCTCCTCCCAGGACACATCAGTATGACACACACTGACCAGGTTTAGCTTTGTTGTCTCAGACGGGTGAGAAGAAATGATGGCAGACAGGCTTGGCCAGCTGCTCTCTCCCCACAGGGCTACCTGTGCGTGACCTGAGCGTGATGCACCCAGCCCCTTGCCCGCCCCATACGGTGAGGGGCAGGGCCCCCATAACTCATCCAACGCCCACAGCAGCACAAGGTGAGCTCACTGACCTGTGAGCCTGCAGCCCCACAGGCACCAGATATCCGCAATGCCTGCTGGATTGGTGCTGTTGCTCACACATCCCTCCTGCCAGAGCCTCAATGACCAGGTGCTGCTGCTGACATCTCCTCTTCCCCAGGCAGCAGCAAGTGAGGATTGAATTTGTGACCTTCAGTGAGATGTATGTGAGGCTGGGGTCCAGAGCAGGCCAGTGTTGTCCTGTCTTGGTCTTCAGACATGCCTGAGGTTGTCCCTCCCCAGGGGTGTTGTGTCCTGCAGAGACAAGCCAAGGACTCCCAAGCTGTCTGCCAATTCCAATACAAAGAGGTAAGAGTACCTATATACCCTACTCTTTGTATCAGGACACTTGTGCAACTCTGGTGCCATTCAAGTGGTTCTGGTCACTACAACACAGAAACACATTTCACTGAGGTTCCCAAGAAGAAAAACACACATCTCCCCCTCTATTGTTTGTTGGGAATATATCTGATATCTTCGCTCCTGTGGTGTGCTTGAGCCCCAAAACTGCCCCAGCTGTACTAGTCTGAGCCTGGCAAAACCTGCACAGGGAGCAGCATCCTTGATGGGGGGCTCAGCTGCTGGAGGCAGAAGGGATGAGGTGCCCTGGCAGCCCCCTGGCCTGCCAGAAATGTGCCGCTGTCTTGCAAGGATCAAACATCGTCGTCCTCACAAATGGTTAACCTGCTGGGAGCTGCACAGCACTAATGACTTCACATGCATTTAATCAGCTTGGACTCCCAGAGCCACCTCCTCAGGAGCAGGAAAGGCCGTGTACCCCGGGTGCAAAAGCTCCCAAAGCCGCACCTCTTCTTACCAATCATTAATCACTGCCAGGCCAGCAACACGAGCAAGCGGCAAGCAAGCAGGAAAAGGCCAAGGCTCGGCAGCCCCCGCGGGAGCAGTGGGAAGCAGTGCTGACCAGTTCCCTGCGGTGGCAGCTCACTCTCTGACCACACTCTCCTGGGCGGAGGTGGCCTGTCCTGCACACGCTACCCTTTCCTTCAGGAAGGTCACCGGGTCCTGGAAGGTCTTGTCTGCAGCTGGGAGCTGCTGGGCTACGTGTGAAGCAGGAGGTCTGAAGAAGAGCTTCTACCTGGTTGGTGCCACAAGCTTCATCTCTTCGCCATGCGGCACGAGGCATTTTGGAGTGCCCTGGAATACACCTGCCGATTGCTGGGCATCTCCACTGCAGCAGGTAAGAGTGAGCTCACTTTTTCTTTGTCACTTAAAGGCACTGAGTGGGTGTCATGATCTCTGAGCTGTGTCCCTACCCTTGGTCAGGTGCAGCCACTACATCTCTCCCCCTAAAAGGGTGACAAGGAAACTTTATCCTTTTACTTTGGGACCCAGGGAGTGAGAATGATGGGTGCCTGGCCAGGCTCTTTGCAAATGCTGTGGGAGGCACAGTGAGACATCAGAAAAAGACAGCACTCAGCATGGCAGAGGACAAGCTAAACCACACATGGAAAATAAAAGTAAATAATATTCTTGTAGAACAGACATGGGCACAAGCAAGATGTGAATGAAGCTGAAAAACAAAATGCTGATAGCTGCAAAAAATAGCCAGATGACTCTGTGGGATGTGAAAATGAAGTAGAAGCAGCTTGCACTGTGTAGAGTGAGGTGTCCTGTGCCAGGCAGGGTGGAGAGGTCCCAGCCATGGTGGTACAGGTAGTGCCAAAGTGCTGCTCTGCCTCTCTAGCAACCTACCAGGGGGCAGGCTCAGGAAGCAGTTCAGGTTATAGCTGCAATGCAAACATAAATTCACCCACCTGGCTAGTTGCATCCTATCACCTGCTGCCAGAGGCTGCTTGGGACCGGTGTCCTCTGGGTTTTGTGACACTTCTGAGCACTTTTTTGCAGTGAAATGAAGTTTGCAGTGAAATGAAGGTGGTTTGAGCTGGATATCTCAGACAAAACATCTCACTCAGAAGGACTGAACTGTGGTGAATAACCCTCTTGCACTGGACATTTCTGGATAGGACATGGGGAAACAGCAAATGCAGATGGCTGAGGAATTCACTCTGCCACTCCTGCTGACTTGCTGTTATGGGGCAGTATAGGCAGTGCTCTCTGCTTCAGTTTCCCCATCAGTAAAGAAAAGATCAAAGTGCATGATTTGCCTCGAGGCTGCAGGAATAAACCAGAGGTTCCTGGTGAGAGGCGACTTGAGGTGCTGTCTGTGGTTCCTGTCGGATTCCAAGGAATTGCAGATTCAGACATAGCAAAGTAGGTCACAGCAGGTCATCCTACCTCTTCATTCCCTTTATCAGCAACAGACAACCATGAGAGACACTTTACTCAAGGCAGGGTCAAAGTAGAAAGTATACAGGTCAGCTGAAGAGAGCACAGGTCCCCAAGGACACCTAAAGCCGGGCTGAGAAGCTGGCTGTGCTCTGGAATGTCCTTGAAGTGACTGATAACGGGCAGAGATTGAGTTTATACATACTCCCAGTAGATAAGTGCACGTTATGATGAGACTGTAACAGATAAGAGCTGGGACACAGTTTTAACCACCAAATATAAATCTCTTCCTTTCTCCATCCCCATCCCCTTGGGCCAACATGAGCCCCATGCTGGTCATATTCTCCCTTGAAGCTCCAAGGAAACTCATAGAAAACTTCCTGGGAGAAAACACGAACTTGTTGTCATGGGAAAACTAAAGCTAGAACAGCAATATTGAAAGTATCTTACAATTTGCAAGTGTCTTAGTGAAATATGATATCTCTCTCTTTATCCTGCTTGTTTTCTCTTGACCATTTTTCATCTTCTGCACCCCTTTCTGTAGTTCTTGAAAAAGGAGCGTGTTTGTCTCTTTGCTGAGCATCACAGAGCGTAGACAGCTGCATTGCCTATCTCTGTGCTTTTCCAGAGCTCTGATGCATTCCTAGTTTCACCCGACTTTTTCAAAAGGCCAGTGAAGAATGGGAGGTGCCTGTGTTTTATTCTTCTACATCTCACTGGAGCAAGAAAACCGCTTGATGCAGTGTTTAGTGCCTGCTGACGTGTGTGAGGTTTTTGCATCAAATGGAAACCATGCAGAGGAGAACCCCATGGGTTTTGTTTGCAAAAAAAAAATAAAAATGAAAGGGAGAGTCCATCAGCCTCACTAATTGATTCTGAGAAGGCCCAGTCAGCTCCATAAAAGGTTAGCCACATCGTATAAGCCTCCCTTCTCCCAGAATCCTGGAGTGTAATGGCTGTCTGCAATGGTGGGGATACAAGGATTCTTTTATGTAAGAAATCAGACAACCCTGCTGCCAGCAGAGCTTGTGTAGAGTGATCAAACAGGCCCACAATTTGCTGCAGTGTTTGGGGCATCTCTGTAGTTCAGAGATTTTAGGCCTTGTGATTTCTGCATCTAGGAGAGACTCTTTTCTTACTTCTTAATTCTCATGCTTTCAACCCTTTAATTCCTAATCATGTGCCTTTAGCCACATGGCTTGGATAAGATCCAAATCAAGGCAGCAACTAGTCCAAACAAACACCTAGGAAACAGCGCTTTGCCTTTTGCAGATTCTTCATCCAAACAGCTTTGTGGATAAAGCAGAAGCTGTGCAAAATGAGGAAACTCTCCCATCCAGAGCAGAAACTCAAGTGTAACAGCCAAGATGTTGAATCCCGCATTCATCCACAGGGAATGAATGAACGAACAAAGAAGTGAAATTCACATTTGTAGGGAAGATTACAAAGAAGGGTTCTCAGTCACCAGATAACAAAGGACAGTACATTGCACATAGTATTGCACAGCTCACACAACTTCACAGCCCTCTGATGAGACTGATATCCCTGTGCCACTGCTCAAGGCTGAAGAGGCAGCCTCCACAGAGGAGAGTGGCATGTGGACCCCATGTGTTCCTCTAGCTGACAGGGGCCAGTAGCTGCAGGTGGGAACAAAAGCAAGACTGCAGCACCTTGATGTGGCTTTGCTTGGCCAGGTTGGGAGAGCTCTGTGCTCAGGCACAACCCTCAGCATTGACCCACCTCAGGACCTTGATGGACACTGATCTGCATCCTTGTTTGGGAGCCTATTACCCTTCTCCAGATGGGGCAAAATACAACTTACATTAGATGAAGACACTTTTAGCCTTGGCCAGCATGAATTCATCAGGACCAGTAGTGAACTTACTGAGCACCAGTGGATGGGCAAGGACTTCTTGGTGAGATGTGGAGATTTCAAATGTGGACAGGAGTGCAATGACCGATTTGCAATGCCCTGGCCATGAGACCTGGGCTCCACTCAGGCACACACCACCAGCACTTGTGCACCCTGACTGGCCAGTATCAGACCCAGCAACTTGCTGCCTTTTGTGTGAGGCACTTCATTTTTGCACCATTGTGGAAATAGTCTTGTGGAGAATTGAAGAATGTTAATGGAAATTTTCCATCTCCTCAAGCTATTGGCCCCCAACAGCCAGTCCAGGGGAGATTTTAGCCTTGCTAATACTCCTAATCCCCCACAAACTGACTCCCCAGTGTGCTGTGTGGATGGGGCACTGAGAGCATTCATTCCCTCTTTTTAATCTTCATGCTCCTGTTATATATTTTTTCTGTTTGGCTAACAAAACATCTTGATGCCATGACTACAGCCCATTGTGAAGGAAGCTGGCACATTTCCCCAGTTCTGCTGCTGCCCTGCAGCTGTGTTTTGGGTGCAGCAGGCCTGGGCAAGCAGTATGGGCAGGGGAGAAAGGTCAGCAGGTGCTGGAAGGACCTAGGCAGAGAGGTCCCCAGGGACGAGGTGGATGGGGCAGTAGGAAGGTAGTCCCTTTGGCTTACATGATGAAATGGCATGACAAGGGGTGGAAGGGACACAGGACACCTCTGCTCACCTCTCCCAGCTGTCCAAGGCCAGCTGGAATTCCCAGAGCACCACTCCCCAGCCCACGCAGTGGCAAGCCCCTGTGACAAGGCTGCAGCTGGGATGGGTTTCTGGGCTGTATGCCACAGTCAGCATTCAGCTTTGACCCTCCTGGGTTGGTGTGTCAGCATGAATCACTGGTGCTGGCAGTCCTAACGTGCTGCACAGCATAGGAGAAGCAGCCTTGCCAGCCCCTGGGGAAACCGGGGTATTGATCCTGGGAGTTGATGGAGACCAGAGAGCCTGGAACCAACTGTGCAGTCAGCATCTTTCCTGCCTTCTCTTTCTAGTGTTGATTGGTGTGGGCGTAGAAACTCTGCAGCGAGGACAGTTCAAAAGCCTGGCTTTCTATCTGCTGTGAGTATTGTTGACCTGGGAATCAGAGCTGGTGGGAGTGACATGTTTGACCCCTCCTCCATATCTAGTACCCAGACTAGACTGAAAAAATCAGCAGTGTGGAAGGATTTGGGGAATTGATATCTCCATGTCTAAATTCCCTGTCTAAGTAACCTATTTCTGTTAGAGAAAGCAATGCCACTGCATCACCCATGCCACTGCAGACTTAGGCAGGCTAGAAGAGTGATACTGGCTGCAAGGTGACCCTTGAAGGCAGAGAGGCTTAGAGCTCTCCTCCACAAACCAGCTGTTCAGAGGGTGTTCAGATCCCAGCACACAGACTCTGCTGTGAAATGGATAGTATGCCCTGGACCTCTATGCCCCTTCTACTACCCAGAGAGCATACTCAAACTCAGCCCTGCCTCCCTGACAGCTCCACCTTTCAGTTTTTCAGGGGTTGCAGTTACTGTCTGTGAAGGCTTCTTCTTTATCAGTTTGTTCCTGGAGATGTGCTTCACGTGAGTAGACCCTGCCCAGTCTTCTCCAGCCTTGGAGGGACCTAGAGCAATTTACCCCATACAAGCAACACCAGACCCAGCTGAGCTGCAAGTGCCAAGCCAGAAGTACCCTATTGCCATGACACATGGACTCAGTCACGGGGGAGGTAAATGGGGCCATGTCCACAGCTATATAAACCTGTGTTTTAACCCAGGCTTGTGCCATAGTTTGCTGTGCATCAGCATGACAAATTTGGGTCTGCAACATCTGTTTAATAGGAGTATGAAACCCTACAATGGATCGGCATTGAGGGAAGAGCCAGATCTCCAAAGTGATCTGAAGCTCCTTCCCAGAGATAACACAGAAGATTGAAGTAGAAAGGTGTTACATACTTTTCAAAGGCTGAGCACTCGGTGCTGTCTTTTAGCATAAACTCAAAAGCTCTGACAGCTTTGAGGTAACCCCTTCCTCCAGCAAATAGGCACTTGACCAACTGCCATTTGGGAACACACCAAGGAGAGACAGCCTGAGATGGCCTCTTCCCTCCAGGGGAGGGGCTCAGGCTTTGCTTACCTTGGCTGTCCAACACTGTTTTTTTGGGAAGCCAGAGTAAGGATCTGAACCTTTAGATGGGTGATAATTAAGTCTAAATCTTTATGCCATGTGCTTGGTACCCAGTCCCACAAGGACTTCTGTTTCTCTCCCCAGATATGAACCTGATTCCTTGGCACAGGACTGCTGGAAGCGATCTAGACGCCCAGGAAGCTTCCAGAAATTCCTGGGGTACACACTGCTGTCAGTGGCTTGCTTCCTGCATCCCGTCCTTGTCTGGCATGTCACCATCCCTGGTAAGGAGCAGGTGCTGGGGTAGAGAATAGTGCAGATGGAAGAAGAGCATGGTCTGCCAGGGCCAGAGAGGGTGGGGATGTGCAGGATGCAGATCAGTTGTGGGGACCACTGAGCTAGTTGGACCAGGTACTGCTCGGTGGGCTCTTCACTTTGCCCAATCCTCAGCCAACATGGCCTTCTCCCCAGGGTCCATGCTGGTGCTCACCGCCCTGGCCTACTTCTTGCTGAGCAAGAGGAGGAAGATCCCAGGGCACAAAGAAACGCATTCTCAGGTGGGCCAGTACGAAGACCCCTCAGCAACCATGGCAGGCCCAACCATTGCTGGTGATACTGAGCAGACCTACACCTTCCATGGAGCCCAGAGGGAACAGCACTGCTCACTGCTGGGCCACATGAAGAGCATCTTGAAGGGCAGCAAAGACAGGAACCCAGCTCCAGCAGCTTCTGCCCAAACGGTGGCCCTGCCAGCCCCACGCAAGCAAGTGCACTTCCAGGAGAAGGTAGTGCAGATCATCCCCTCTGTCAGCGAGAGCGTGGAGGATGTGGAGAGTGAGGCTGAAGAGACCACATCAGACACAACACCCATTCTCACTCCACCTGATACCACCATTATCCTTGCTTCCCCTACCTCCACAGGCCTCTTTTGAGCCCTCGGCAAGAAAAAGGACAGGGCAGACCTGCTACCTCTGCCACTGGCACCTCTCCCTGCCACTCTAGCAGCCAAGGGGCCCTGAGAAGGCTCTCTTTGCCCTTTCTGCCTCTGGGGTGAGAACTGTGTTGCTCCCTTTTCAAGGGGCTGCCTGAACTGCATGGTCCCACACCATGTGACAGGGCCAGTGGTGGTCCCCAGCCCATGTAGCACCATGCCCAAGGGACAGATAGTGGTCCAGCTGGGGTAGTGCCAGGATAGTAAGGTTTCTGCTCCTATGGCCTTGAGTGTGGGCCACACCTCTCTTACGGCATTACACATCACAGTGGCTGCTCCTGCCTAACATAACAGCTGTGGTATGTGCCTCTTATGAGGCAGCAGCTGGCAGGAGAAGAGACTGCCATCCCCCCAGAGCAGAGAGCAGCCTCTGCTTCAGGTAATTGTCTCCCTTCTGCCCTCATTGCACACGGAAGTGCTCACAGCTGGGACACATCTAACACACCTCAGCCCAGGCTGCAGGTTCCCCACAACACCTGCACTGACTGCAGCAGGCCCAGGGCATCCAGAACATTATTTCAGAGGTGTGCTGAGACCAAGTACACCCTTGGGGCTAGCACCTGCTAGTGCCCTCCCCTGACACATGCACCAAACCCAGCAAGGAAATCACCTCTGACCTTGGGGACACCTACACGGGAGCAGGGAGGACTTACTAGTGTCTCCTGCCCAGACTACCCTCTTGAGTTGGGATGCTGCAGTGACTCAGGTCATGAGGTTCTGCACTGCATTGGCACAGCAGACCATGCCCTGTGTGTTAATTATGGGCCTGAAAGGGCAAAGGCAGTAATAAAATTACAATGTTCTCTCCCTGGTCCGCTCAGTGCCAGCTCTTCCTTGAACCCTTCACCTCTGGTTTAATCCCTACAATATGTTCTGTCCATTGAGGACTGTTCGCCAATAATCAGGCATTTCTCTCCTGTTTAACTCATTCCCTTGGCTCTCTCCAACCTGAGGACTAAGACTTTCTGCTTCCAGATAGCAAATGCTGTCTGTGCCTGCAAATAACATCACTAAGAAACCCCCATCAGCATCAGGCAACTCTTCAGGCTGCACATGGGAAAAGCACAGGTGGTTGGGTTTTCTCAGACATGGGACATGAGACCACACTGTCACCACTGCTGGAATGAAGAGTTGCAGCTTCTCTGAGTCCAGACAGAAAACATTGGGGTGAGAAGGTGGTAAGGAGAAAAGATTCCCAAGACCTGCTTAGACTATTTATGAGGTAGAAACCAGTGAGACTGGCTTTTTTTTTTTTTCCCCCCTCTTGGAAATATATTATTTCTTCCTTTTAAAATCTTAGCTCTCTGAGTCACAATCACCGTGTTCATTTAGGAAAATGGTGTAGTTTGAAGTGTAAAAATGTGAAGTGTAAGTGTTCAAAAATCAGAAGGCAGTTTAGATAAGCACCCAATACTACGTTTTAATAAACTCTTTTTAAGACTCCTAATTTGGGAGATGGATGGGAAAGAAGGCAGAAGATATTGGCTCAAAAGGTCTGACTGCCTGTGTTGGTGATGAAACTGTCCACAATGGCAGCTTATGAACAGTTGTGCACATTTGTCTTTCCTACAGCCAAACACAAACAAAAAAAGTTTTGTTGCATCACCAACATTTAAAATGATAACTGGTATCAATCTGTTCTAAACACGATATTTGGATTAGAGAGCTCCCCATTTTGGCTGCACAGATTAATCCTCCACCCTGTAATTGCATGCTGGGGAAGAGTCACGTACACATCTGCCTTTAGGGAGGTTTTGTACCTGCAAAAACATCTTCAGAAAATGGTGCATGTTTACAGCCAAGCACTGCACAACTGATAGCAGCAAGCCCAAGATCCAGCCACAGCTCCACCCTCAAGCTAGTGTATTCATCACATTAAGAAATAAAAATAAAGCAATCTTCTTCTAAAGTTGGTAGCCAAAAAGCATATCTGCATCAATAAAGGCCCTAACCCAGCTATGTTAACAGAATACCCACCTTGCCAACTCTGCCTCAAAAAGCTGTGCTCAGAACTGGCTCCCCAGCTCAATCTCACATCTGCTCTGCTATTCATAAAATCTTAGAATCATCAAGGTTGGAAAAGACCTTCAATATCATCATGTCATTAGCAAGCTCAGCTTTCTGCATCATCCAAGGTTTTTCATTGAGCACTACATAACTAATTACACACAGAGATAAGGTTTGTTAAAAATGGAGTGTTCCCAATAGATCTGCTTAGGAGAAAGAGGCCCCATTTCTGTAGCTTTCTCTCTAGCCCTGAGCAAAGCTTCAGGACAGCCTGGGTGGGGTTAGCTGCTTTGCAAGAAATTTCACCCTTCAGCTCTTACTCAAGCAGCCCCAAACTTCATACAGCTGGGGCATTGGGGCCAGCTGGCAAAGGGAGAAGCAATCAGTGAGACCACCTGTGGCACCTTGAAGTGTGTGTGGAATAAATTTCATTGCTTTATGAAGTGCATAAAATTAGTTTATAATCATAAGAATCTGCACAATTAGGTATTTATGGTTTTTAGGCTCATCTTTCAAAAATCTGTTGTAGCATTGCTTTAGGAAACCACACTGGGTGTGTCACCCCTGCCAAGGAGTCTGTCTGTATATCCCTTCACCACTCATCCCACTCTGGTGCTCCTTTGCTGACAGACCTCATTAGCTGAAAGTACATATAATTAGGAAAAAGAAAGTGGGTAGCTATCTTCTGGGGTAATAAGCAAAATAAATTAATGAAAATAAGAGACAGCCACAAAATTAAGGAGATGGGGGATAAAAGCACCCTTTTCAGAGGCAGCAGGTTGTTAGAGCAGCTCAGCAGCTTAAACAAATACAGCCCTATTCTTTCTTTAAAATCCCAGTGCAAAGGAAACTTTCAGCCTCAGGGGGTGTCAGATGACTTAGCAAACAGTAAGTACTTCTGTGTTGGCCCCTCTCCCTATGTCTAGCTGTGAGGGACATCTCATGGGCTACTGAAACAAGAGAGATGCTGTAGAGACACTGGCTGTGGGAAACTGTACATGAAAAAATCTCATTTATGTGTGGCAATTGCATGGAAAGAAAAAGAGGAAGAACTTGACACAGTTAACTGTGCAGTGATATCTGAACTTGAGCTGCCTGAACTGTAAATTCACACAGCTATATAATTTTTGCTTGCATTACATTTAATTCATGATACAGCTAATCCATTGAGATTAAGACATTGAGCTAGAGTTGAATGTATAAAGCTATAAACTCCTATGGATTCACATGCTGAAAGGAAAAAAAGATGAATCAACCAAAAGAAATATGTGTTTAAGGTGAAATTCTGTGAAGCAAGCCTAGCAGAACTAGTTTTCTTCAAAGTTTCCTCTGAAGATTTCCCCATATGAGGAAAAAATTGCCTGCATTGGACACACTGTAATGGCACTTGGAAGCCACCATCACGACTTCATGAACTAATATATTATAAACAATTTAAGTTTTATATGAAGGCAAAAATAGATTTCAGTGCAGGCTGGTTATAATTGCTCTTTGCCTCCAGTGCACACTAGCCTGAGCAACCATTGCATAGCCCCAAAGGCAGGTACACCTGCCCCACCATGGTGCTCCCACCTTGCTGCAGATGCTCAGTCACCTTCCAAACTCCTTAGCTTCCTCCAGGGACTCTGGGTCTCAACTTCTCTAAGCACTTCTCCCCATTAGAAACATGAATATGAATGTTTTACCCATACAAGAGCAGTGTTAGGAAAATACAGTATATTTAGAGAGAAAAAAGTGTTCAGTTTCTGTCAGTGTCAGTATGAGTATATTTAGAGAAAAAGTGTTCAGTTTCTGTCAGTGTCAGTATTGAACCAGAAGTTCCTAGCTCATACCTGCATGTGCAACACTCACGGCAGCACTGGTATTGGCATCAGTGGCAACGGAGGCTCCTAATTCAATACTGAGTTATAGCCTCCACATGCTAAAGAGGAGCTGTGTCCGTGCAATTACAAATGGTGCATAATCACACATCTGCAACCCTATCATCCTCAGCCCTATGCCTTCTCCCATCCCATTCAGGAGATTTTCCCATGTGCTAGACCAGATATGCAGGTTCCATTTTGTCTGGACTCCTGCACTTCGTGCTGTGAAGGAAATTACACAAACCAGAAACCAGGTTCCAAATCTGTCTAGGATTTGTTGGAGCTGCCAACTGCCTTAATTTCTTGGCATGGGGTGGGCAAAAACAGGAATCAGGCTTCCAACTGCCATGCATCAGCTTGCATACTTGTGCTGAAATGACTGCACTTAGGTTATATCCTAGTGAAAGATTAAGGTACCTTTAGGAAATTAGTTCTAGGTAGCTATTCATGCAGCATGTGGCTACCAAATCCTGTTTTGAAGCTCTAGGCTCTATGGAAAATACCAGGAATCTGATTTTCCAGGCCAGGTCTTTGGGTCACAAACTAAAGAAGGAATCCATATTTCAGACAGAAGAAGGGGAAAAAGAGAGAGAGAGAGAAAGAAAAATATTGACTTGAATAAGATTTTTTAAAAAGAGGAGTAATGTTTTCTGGCAGCTCCTCCTTCTCATCCCAGCCAGTATCTAAAAGGGACATCATACAGCACAGGCAGAAGTTGTGAACAGCATCTTAACACTAATCCCCATCCCACTCTCATATTTTTGTTCTACTCAGCCTCTTCCTCATCCCAACCTTTTCCACCCCAGAGCTTGCCTTATTCAGAGAAGATATTTAAAACAGAAATATCATCCTGATCAATCTATACTAAACAAAATTATACATTCTGTGACATGTTTGCACTATTCCTCTCTGCCCTAACTCTTTTTTAACTGCCTCCCTCCCAAACTCCCCTGTAAGAGGGGCTGGGTTTGGTACTAACACAGGTGCCACACAGCTCCCTCCTGGCACCCCGCACCTTGGCTGATGCATTGCCCACTGCACCTGCGTTTGCTCTCTCTTGAGCCACACTTGG